GTCGACGTCATGAAAAAATCATTACGTCGGGGGTCTGGGGAGGACGAGCACCAAGATCTTTCCTCTGGGAACAATGGAAAAACAAAGCCTACCAGCGCAATCTAACACACAAGCCCTGTTGCTGTGCCAAATTGCGCTCGTGGGCGATGTCGCCGGTGTGTCACGGCACGCGGCGGAGGATGCGCCCTTGAAGCCGAATCTGGACACGGCGGCGCCTTCACATTCGGAAGCGCTGCTGCCATGAGCTGGAACACCGAGGAAACGTCCTTCAGAGGAGACTCGTTCCATCGCACTCCTGGGAGCTCGGGGGTCAACTAGAGTGGACTGAAAATGGGCAGGCTGACTCAGGAAGTGCGTGCTGTCCGTACTTGAACGATCTCTGTACAGTGCGCGGCGAGCTGGGAATGATCCGCCGGCCCCCGTGTGGGGCCACTGGGCTGTAGGACGACGTTGCTGCTCCCGGCGCCAGTTGCAGGCTTGCAAGTCTCCAGTGTTACAGTCCTGCCTTCTGCTTCCTGCTGCAAGCTGTTGAAAGCCGCGCGAGGGAGGGGGGGGAACCCCAAAGGACCCGGGTACCACTCCCCGATCGCGTGCTCTGAATTCCCGGGGGGTGGGAGCGGGAAACGTAACAATACTCGAGATTCGCGTCCCCGAGGCCATTCAACCTCGAAGATGACAAGAATGTTGCGTCCCCGAGGCAACAAACCATGGTAAATGAGACGATATTCGAGCACCCAAAGCCATAAACCTTCGCAAATTACTTCGCGTTCGGATTGCCGAGGCAGAATGCTCCAAGGCTCTCGAAGATGGTTTCAAGACGACCCAAGAGGGCTTAACGAGGCCTTAAGAGTGCTTTAAGAGGCTTCTTGAGAGAGCCCCAAGAGGCTAACATTTTATGTAGATGTTACTGGGGTTTTGCAAACAGATTTTGGCCTTCTCGCATTTACGGTTTTTCGACGCTCCAAGACGGCTCAAGACGATCCGAAGACCACGCTAAGACAGCCTAAGACGCCTCCAAGAGGGCCCCAAGGCGGCCCAAGAGGGCTCCAAGACGGCCTAAGAAGCGCTCAAGACGGCCCAAGGAGGCCTCAAGACGGGCCCAAGACGGCGCAAGAGGGGCCCAAGTAGGGGACCACGAACCGAACATTCGATGTTTGTGCCCCGAGAAACCCTCAGGATGCCCCACGAGGCCGCCAAGAGGCTCCAAGTTACCTCACGAGGCCCCAAGAGGCCCCCAAGAGGCGCCCAAACCGCCTCCAAGAGGCCCCCGAGAGACTCCCCACGACACCCCAACACATATACAAGAGGCCTCAGACCTACAACCCAGACACGATGGCGGGATGGGCGGGAGGCCACTCGGATAACGCCAACGTTTCAATATGCGCTGATGATTCCTATCCGCCCCCGCATGATGTTCCAAGCCAAGGCAGCGCCGAGGCCGACGCGACTGTGACATATCCCATTCATGATGGAGTGGGGGCCGGCGGCAGGGAGCGAAGCCCGCACGGATAAAATTTCGACCCGATCGAGGCCAACGCTGCGGCGCGAGCCAGAAGCACAGACGTCCCCCTCGCGTGACGTGGTGGAGGGAGAGGGGCGAGGAGGGGGAGCTGGAGGGACGGGAAGAGGCAACTGCAGGAGCGGGCGACGACTTGCTCCACAGCCGCGCCGCGCGCTGTGCCGCCCCTAGCGGCTGCGGCACGGTGCGCCGATGGGAGCCTACTCCGTCATGAGCGAGTTGCGCCGCTCTGTCGCGGCGTCCGCGTCGCCACCCTCTCCGCGCCCGCGTCTCACCTTCATGCCCGCGGCAAGCCTGGCCCCTCCGAGGGCCCCGGAGCAGCCAGTGGGACACCCCCGCGAGGCAGCCAACCAAACAGGGGTGGCCCAGACTCGGCCGGTTCCGACTGCTTGTGGGCATGGGTGTGGTCACCTCCTCCTGCTCCTCCTTCTCCTCCTCCTCCTGCTCCTCCTCCTCTTCCTCCTGCTCCTCCTGCTGCTCCTCCTCCTCCTCCTCCTCCTCCTCTCCTTGTCGCACGAGAGCAGGCACTAATCGAAGATCAGAACTAGGGGACATGTTGACTGGCCTCCTCCTCCCCCCCCGACGGGGGTCGCGGATGCAGGCATCGAGCTGCAGCTGCCGCGTGTACGGACGGCCGGCCAGGCTGGTGGAGGCTTGGGGGGAGGGCGACCATGCCGTGCTCGAGCACGGCCGTCCTCCCCCTCCGCGCGGTCTCCGACGGCGTCCTCCTCTCGCTCGGCATCCACCCCTCTCGAGCTCCTCTGAGCTCCCGCCCAGGCCGTGTGCGGCGTCGGGCACGGTCCGCTTCGGCGTGCTTCTTCCTCTTCTTCTTCTTCTTCTTCTTATTCTTATTCTTCTTCTTCTTCTTAATATTATTATTCCTCTTCTTCTTCCTCTTCTTCTTCTTCTTCTTCGTCTTCTTCTTCTTTTCTTTTTCTCCCCCCCCCCGCCAACGGGGGTCAACCTCGCCTCGCCCAAGCACCGCGACGTGTGCTGGAGCGCCCTTGGCGCCGTGGCGGCTGCCCGCCGAGCTCTCCTCTGCCCCTCCCACTTCTGGGAGGCTTCCCAGAAGCCGTCTTGGCAGCCTCCAGGCCCTTCTCGCGAGGAGCACAGAACGTCATGAACAGAAACTGCTGGAGCGCCAACAGTTCATGTTGATGTCTCCTTCGATTATCAGGAGCCCCCTCTCTGGCCATCGCTCGGACGTCCATCCCCGATGTTTCCTTCGGTTTCGTGCGTGGCTTTTTCGCCGAATGATCAAGGATGCTCCTCGATGGTCCTCGCCGAAAGAAAAATGCATACGTCCGAGCGATGCCAGGCTCTTTCTAAGTGGCACCCCGGCCTCCTTGGAAGGCCACGCCCTCGCGCCACCCCCTTGTGCGTGCGCTTCGCCACACAATCCTGGCAGAGCTGCTCTTAGGTCGGGCATGCCTCCCTACAGGCGGATGTTGGGCGAACAATTTAACAGACCCCAAAGATACTCAACAAAGGTTCAAACCTATGTAGTCGAACAAGCGTCTCCCGACTATTTTTTGGGGGGTATTTTTGACTATTCCTCCTGTGGATGGACACGCCCGACTTAGAGCTGCTCGTGGCTGGAACATCTGCAGAACACCCCTTCGCAGGACGCCCCCTGGCGTGGGCCACGTGCGCACGCCACGTGCGCACGGCGCCGCATGCCGAAGGGACCTCACGGGGCAGCTGACCGACGTCCAACAAAAACCACCGGACGCATCCGGCGAAGCGCACGTCGACTGGCGAAACCGACTTGGGGTTCCAGTGCGGGCACGGCCGCAAGAAACCCTCGCAGGAATCCCAACCCTGAGAACCCGAGCGCGAGGTGCACCTGAGGGGAAACCCGGAGCACCCTGAACTCAGCAGATCCTTCAACGGCTGCGGGAAGCCACCGCGCAGCGCGAGGAGAGAAGAAACCCAGGATACCCTGACAAAAAGAAGATGGTTTCTTGATGCGCGCCCCCACTGTAGGCCGGGTATGTGCCCCTACAGGCGGATTTTGAACGAACGATAGAACAGATGGAACAAGTACTAGAACATGATCAAGCCCTGTAGAAGCGTCGTCCCCATACAATTTCGTTTTATAGATACTTTTGAACATGCCTCCTGTAGAGGGACACGCCCGACTTACACGTAGGACTGCCCCAATACACTCGTATGCCAATGTCGAGAAAAGCACCGTGAGCATCTCCTCCGTCGACTCGTCTGGGCGGGCGTCCTGTCAACGCTGGGCCCTGGTTCCCAGTCGTCCCCCCCCCGTCCATGCCCCGCCCCCGAAGCGCCCGGGGTGATAATTTCCCCCCCCCCCCCCCGGTCGACGGCAGCTCTACCGCCTGGCCCGCATCCGGCCCACGGTTAAATCGGGCCTGTCCGCCTACAGGGGGATTTTTGACGAAAAATAAAAATACCCCCAAACTATTCCAAAAGGGCCCAACAATACTCAAAAAATAGTCCCCAGACCATTTTTGGAGCATTTTTTGATTATTTTTTGGGTATTTTCAATTTTTCGTCGAAGGTCCCCCTGTAGTGACTACCTACCAAACCACCCCAACTCAACCCGAAGACCCGAATTTAACCCCAATTTCGGGTTGGGGGGGGTACGGATTCCATGTGTTTTTTTCAATGTTCCCCGACCCCCCCCCCACTGGAAATCGAGGATAAATTTGGGCCTTCGGGTTGGGTTGGGGTGGTTTGGTGGGTGGTGATGTAGGGGGACAGGCCCGACATAAGCCCACGGGCCCCCGCACGGAGGCCCGTCCTCGCCCGCGCCTCGAGACGCGCACCCGGCCGCGGCGACGAGGAGCCCCCCCCCGGGAGGCCAACGCCGCAGAGGGCGCCGCGCGCAAGGCGAGCCTTATGTCGGGCCTGTCCCCCTACAGGGGGATTTTCGACGAGAAATAAAAAGTACCCCCAAAATAATAAAAAAAATCAAAAAATAGTCTGGGGACTATTTTTGGAGTATTTTTTTACCTTCTTGGGGCAGTTTTGGGGGTATTTATTTTTCGTCGAAAATCCCCCTGTATGGGGGACAGGCCCGACCTAAGACGAGCCGGCCGCCGCGGCCTCGCTCCCGCCTGCGCGGCCGCCGCCTCGACTCCCGGCAGAGGTGCTTCGGCGGCGGGCAAACCTCTCTTTTCAAAAAAAAAAACACCCTTTCGTGAGAACGGCCCGGGACCGAATTCCGACGGACCTTCAGAAACTGAATCCATAACATGAAACAAGTGCAGCAAGTGTTTTCTGGATTGAACGCGATGAAATAATATTATATATCTATATATGTATGTATGTCCTTGCTTGTTTGCTTGTAGGTGGTATATAGATATATTATTATTATTATTATTATTATTATTATTATTATTATTATGTTGCTTGTCCGCGACGCCCTCTCGCGAGTCGAGACCAGCCAATTCGCGAATCGACGCGTCAGGGGAGGAGGTCTGTCAACCTCCGGCTGCTCCCGGGGCCCCCCGGGGCCGGCGAGAGCGGCCAGGCCACCGCGGGCCTTCTTCCTCCGGCGCCCGTCGGCGGCCTCCGCGGCCCCGGGCTGCGCGCGGCCCTCCTCGGCGTCGTCCTCGTCGGGCAGCTTCCCGTGCTGCTGCAGCTCCTGGCTGCGCGGCAGTCTGAAGGGGCCCAGGGACACACAAGCAAATACACACAACTCAAAACGTTCCCAACATTTTCCCATAATTTTGGGGTTTTCGTCCTCCCCCCCCCCCACACTTCCTATATTTTCCCACATTTTCTGGGGATCGACGATCAATTGTGTCTGTGTTCCTTCCCCTCCTGACAATCATCGGCCCCTGACCACGAAAAGGCGACTGCCCGCGTGAGCGACGGTCGAAACGAGGCCTTGCGCGAGACGGCGCAGCGACCTTGCGCGGCGGCTCGCGCGGGCCGCCAGCGCGGCACGCCACGCGGGAGACGAGGGCGCTTACGCGCGACCTGACGCGGGTAGCTTGCGCGCAATGTGGGGCATCCTTTGACAACTCTCTGTCGCTGTCACGTCTGCATCGCAGAGCGGGAGAAGGGTGGCTGGGGAGATGCGCTTGCCCCGCTCAGTGGCCGCCGCGATCACCCTGGCGACCTTCAACACCGGCCTGGAGGCTTGGTTCGGGGTCAGATGGGCGATTTCGGAAACCCTGCGCCCCAAACCTTTTCATCCCTTAGGGACACATCTTGTACCTCCGCCGCCTTCCGCCGAGCTTCCGCCGGCGGAGGCGGCCACGTTTTACTTCCGCCGACCTTCCGCCGCCTTCTGCCGCGGAAGATATGCCAACTACTTCCATCCTCGAAGGCAAGGCCGTTTTTGAAGCGCCCCGGATGTCGCGGCATGAAGTCCTGGCAGATGGCGGTGAGAGCGGTCAGGTGCTCCTCCTGAGAGGACAGTGGCACGGCACAGACATTCGGTCGGGCATGTCTTCCTACAAGCAGATTTTGGGCCAAAAATCCGCTGGCCCCCTTGCGGGGCCATCAGGCTGCGAGGCTTAGGCTTGCTGCTCCCTGCGCCAGTTCCAGTTTCCTTCTTCTCATGTTACAATTTTGCTTTCTGCTTCTTACTATAAATGTTTACTGCATGCGCGAACAAGGGGGAGGGGGGGCGGCGAAAACCGCCCAGCTGGCGTACCCGAGTCACATCCTCAGAATCTCTGGGGGGCACTGGGACACCTGAAAATATTTGAGATTCGCGCTCCCGATGCAATAATCAATCGCGAATTACACTGTATTCGCGCCCCCGAGGCCAAGATCCCTCGTAGATTACATTGTATTCGCGTCCCCGAAGCCACGACCCCTCCTAAAATACGCCGTGTGAGGCCACGATCCCTCGTAAATGCGCTACATGTTCGCCTCTGGGGCCACGATCCATATTGAATTGCGCCACAATCGCGCCCCCGAGGCTGCGATCCTTTTGTAAATTACACCGAATTTGCGCACCCGAGGCCCCGATCTCTTGTACATTATACCACGCTCGCGCCCCAGAAGCCACGATCCCGCGCGTAAATTACACCACGTTCGCGTCCCCGAAGCCACGATCCCTTGCAAATAGCACCGCATTCGCGCCCCCGAGGCCTCCAAAAAGCCCAAGAGATACCCACGAGGCCCCCAGAGGCCACCAAGAGGCGCCCAAACCGCCTCCAGGAGGCCCCTGAGAGGATCCCCACGACACCCCAACACATATACAAGAGGCCTCAGACCCACAACCCAGGCACGGTGGCGGGATGGGCCGAAGGCCACTAGGATCCGCCGCCCCCTGCTTGCAGGGGTGCACGGCGTGCTGGATGATTCAGGTTTTGGTTTTGGTTCTTTTTCTAAAAGAACTCCCCATAGGGCTTCGGCCCGTCCCGCCGGCCACCCGTAAATTGCCGAAAATCCGCCTGTCAATGCCCAAAAACGGCCGTTTCGCTCGGGACATCCTCAACAAATCGCGAAGATGGCCCAAGATGGCCTCCAAGTCCGCCCGAGATGGTCCAAGACGGCCTCCAAAACGGCCCAAGAGAGTCCAAGACGGCCCAAGACGGCCCAAGAGGCCCCCCAGAGGCCTCCCAGACGGCCCAAGAGGCCTCCAAGAGGTCCTCCAGGAGAGTCCGAAGAGGCCAAAATCATTGATTTTCCATTGGTTTTTGAAGGATTTTGGCATTTGCGCCTTTTCGGCTCTCCGACGGCTCAAGACGGCCCAAGAAGCCCCCAAGATCGCCCAAGAGGCCCCCAAGAGAGCCCCATGATGGCCCAAGTGGCCTCCAAGATGGCCCCTAGAGGGCCCCAAGAGGGCCCAAGAGGCCTCCAACACGCCCAAGATGGCCTCCCAGACGCCCAAGATGGCCTCCAAGACGGCCCTGGAGCATTCCAAGCGGGCCCCAAGTCGGCCCATAGAGGCCCCCCAAACGGCTTCCGACGGCTTCAGACGTGCCAGGAACCCACCAAGATGGCCGAAGTTGGCTCGAAGCTGGCCCGAGACGGCCCAAAAAGCCCCAAAGATCGCCCAAAGCTTGCCCAAGAGGCCTCCAAGACGGCCAAGATGACCTTCAAGATGCCCACGTGTTCCCCGAAGGCTTTCCAAACCGATTCGGGGAACACGTGGTCCGATAGCTTGGCAGGTCTGGCCTCAACGTTCGGCCACATAGGCGCTTCCAAAAAGGCAGGGGGCGGCGGTGATTCGCCGTAGGCGTCTTCGATCCGCCGCCCCCTGACGATTCATCGCAAGGGTGCCTGGCGTGCTAGACCCTTTCGGTTCATCGCAGGGGTGCCTGGCGTGTTTTGGCTATTTTTTCAAAATTATCCCGGCAAAGCAACCTAACAGCGATGTGTAGAAGCATATCTGAAAGCATTCCCCTTAAGATTCAGATGAAAATCCAGTTGTCGAATTCTGCTGTTCTCGCAGTCGTAGTCGCATTCGCGATGACAGTCGCAGCGGCAACGGCAGTCGCAGTCACAGCCTCAGCCTCAGCCTGCCTCCTCCTCCTCCTCCTCTTTCTCCTGCTCCTCCTCCTCCTCCTCCTCCTCCTCTCCTCCTGCTCGTCCTCGTTCCGTCCTCCTTTCGCTCGCTGCTCTCCTCCTCCCCGTCCTCCTCGTCCTCCTCCTCCTCCTCCTCCTCCAGTTGGTTCCTCGTTCTCCTCCCCTGGTGCACTCCCCCCCCCTCCTCCTCCTCGTCCTCCACCGTCCTCCCTCCACTCTCCTCCTCCTCCTCTTCCTCCTCCTCCTCCTCCTCCGTCCTTCTCCTCCTTAGTCCACCCCCTCCCCTCCTCCTCCCTCCTCCTCCTCCTCCATCCTCCATCCTCTTCCTAGGTCGTGTTCCTCGTTCTCGTCCTCCTCGTCTTGCTCGTCCTCCTCCTCCTGGTGTTCTCTCCTCCTCCTCCTCCTCCTCCTCCTCCTCCTGGTGGTCCTCGTTCTCCTCCTCCTGGTACTCTCCCCCCCCCTCCTCCTCCTCCTCCTCGTCCTCGTCCTCCTCCTCCTCCTCCTCCTCTTCCTCCTCCTCCTCCTCCTCCTCCTCCTCCTCCTCCTCCTCCTCCTGGTACTCCTCCCCCTCCCCTCCTCCTCCTCCTCCTCCTCCTCCTCTTCCTGGTCGTCCTCCTCCTCCTGGTCGTCCTCCTCCTCCTGCTCGTCCTCCTCCTCCTCCTGCTCGTCCTTCTTCTCCTGCTCCTCCTGCACCTCGTCCTGCTCCTGCTCGTCCTCGTCCTCCTGGTCTTGCTCGTCCTCCTCCTCGTCGTGCTCTTGCCCCTGCTGAAAATGTGGCCCGGGAATGGAGTTCTGGGCACTCGAAGAGCACGAAGTGGCCTACAGTTGGCTCCGGGCATTCAAAATGTGGGCCCGGGAATGGAGTTCTGGGAACTCGAAGAGCACGAAGTGGCCTACAGTTGGCTCTGGGCATTCAAAATGTGGCCCGGGAATGGAGTTCTGGGAACTCGAAGACCAGGAAGTGGCCTACAGTTGGCTCCGGGCATCCAAAATGTGGCCCGGGAATGGAATTCTGGGAACTCGAAGAGCACGAAGTGTGTGACTGTTGCATCCGGGCATCCAAAATGTAGCCCGGGAATGGCGTTCTGGGATGTCGAAGAGCACGAAGTGTGTGACTGTTGCATCCGGTTATTCTAAATGTGGCCCGGGAATGGCGTTCTGGGATCTCGAAGAGCACGAAGTGTTTGACTGTTGCATCCGGGTATTCAGAATGTGGCCTGGGAATGGAGTTCTGGGAAGTCGAAGAGCACGAAGTGTGTGACTGTTGGTGAAAAACGAGCCCGGCACCCTGCCGCCCGGCAACTCCCCAACACCTGCCCGGACCCCCCTGAGGAGTGATCTGTGAGCTCTTTTGAGTCAACTAGAAACCTATCAGTCTTCGCTGTTAGGTAATAACTCCCCCTGGGGCGTCGGCCCGTCCCGCCGGCCACCCGGAAAATGCCCAATTCCCCAATTTCCTGCCCAAGACGGCTCCAAGATGGCCTCCAAGATGGCCATGATGGCCCAAGATGGCCTCCAAGATGGTCCAAGATGACCTCCAAGTTCGCCCAAGATGGTCCAAGACGGCCCAAGAGAGTCCAAGACGGCCCAAGAAGGCCCAAGAGGCCCCCCAGAAGCCTCCCAGACGGCCCAAGAGGCCTCCAAGAGGTCCTCCAGGAGGGCCCGAAGAGGCCAAAATCATTGAGTTTCCTTAGGTTTTTGAAGGAATTGGGAATTTGCTTCTTCTCGGCATTCCGACGGCTCAAGACGGCCTCAGAGGCCCCCAAGATCGCCCAAGAGGCCCCCAAGAGGGCCTCATGACGGCCCAAGTGTCCTCCAAGATGGCCCCAAGAGGGCCCCAAGACGGCCCAAGAGGCCTCCAACACGCCCAAGATGGCCTCCAAGACGCCAAAGATGGCCTCCCAGACGGCTCCGAAGCGCCCCAAGAGGGTCCCCGTTGGCCCAGGCCCCCAAGACAGCTCCCGACGGCGTCAGACGTGCCAGGAACCCACCAAGATGGCCGAAGTTGGCTCGAAGCTGGCCCAAAAGGGCCCAAGAGGCCCCCAAGAGGGCCTCCAGGAAGGCCAGAAGGGGCCAAAAACATTGATTTTCCGTAGGTTTTTGACGGATTTTGACATTTCCTTCTTTTCGGCCTTCCGACGGCCCGAGACGGCCCCAGAGCCCCCAAAGATCGCCGAAAGATCGTCCAAGAGGCCTCCAAGACGGCCAAGATGACCTTCAAGACGCCCGCGTGTTCCCCGAAGGCTTTCCAAACCGATTCGGGGAACACATGGTCCGATGGCTTGGCAGGTCTGGCCTCAACGTTTGGCCAGATAGGCGCTTCCACAAAAGCAGGGGGCGGCGGTGATTCGCCGTAGGCGTCTTCGATCCGCCGCCCCCTTTTGATTTTTCAAAGGGGTGCCCTGCGAGCCAAACTATATGGCTTTTGGTTTCGGCTCTTTTCCCAAAAGAACTCTCACAATGGGCTCCGGCGCGTCCCGCCTAGGTCCCGGGAGGCTTGCCCAGAGGTGGCTGCAAAGCCTCCCAAACGGCCGTTTCGCGAGGGGCATCCTCAAAAAATCGCGAAGATGGCCCAAGATGGCCTGCAACATGGCCAAGATGATCGAAGATGGCCGACATGATGTCATCCAACATGGCCAAGATGGCCTAGAGATGGTCCAAGATGGCCTCAAGCTGGCCCAAGACGGCCCCAGAGGCTCCGAAGAGGGCTCCAAGACGGCCCAAGAGGCCTCCAAGAGGGCCTTCAGGAAGGCCCGAAGAGGCCCAAATCATTGATTTTCCTTAGGTTTTGGACGGATTTTGGCATTGACGCCTTTTCGGCTTTCCGACGGCCCAAGACGGCCCAAAAGGCCCTCAAGGTCGCCCCAAGATCGCCCAAGAGGCCTCCAAAATGGCCCCATGACGGCCCAAGAGGCCCCCAAGACGGCCCCAAGAGGACCTCCAAGACGCCTCCAGGAAGGCCCGAAAAGACCAAAACCATTGATTTCCCAAGAGATTTTGAAGGATTGTGGCATTGGTTTCTTTCGGCCTTCCGACGGCCCGAGACGGCCCAAGTGCCCCCAAAGATCGCACAAGACGGCCCCAAGAGGCCCCCAAGACGGCCCAAGAGGCCTCCAAAACGTTCAAGATGGCCTCCCAGACGGCCCAAGAGCCCTCCAAGACGTCCTCCAAGAAGGCCCGAAACAATCAAAATGGCCCCCCAAGACGGCTCCAAGAGGGCCCCAACAGGCCTCAGAGACGGCCAAGATGGCCTCCAAGAGGGCCAAGATGGCCCCAAGATGCCTTCAAGACGGCCCAAGATGCACCCAAGACGGCCTCAGATGGCCTCAAGATGGCCCAAGACGGCCCAAGACGGCCCCCAAGAGGCCTCCGAGACGGCCCATAGAAGCCTCCGAAAGGTCCTTCAGGAGGACCCGAAGAAATCAAACTCATTGCTTTTCCTTAGGTTTTTGAAGGCTGTTGGCATTTGCTCTGTTTTGGCACTCCGACGGCTCAAGACGGCCCACGAGGCCCCCAAGATCGCCCCAAAATCGCCCCAACAGGCCTCCAAGACGGCCAAGATGGCCTCCAAGACGGCTAAGATGGCCCCAAGATGCCGTCAACACGTCCCAAGATGCACCCAAGAGGGCCCAAAATTGCCTCAAGATGGCCCAAGGCGGCCCAAGAGGCCCCTAAGAGGCCTCCCAAACGGCCCAAGAGGCCTCCAAGAGTTCCTCCAGGAAGGCCCGGAGAGGCCAAAATCACTGATTTCCCTTACGTTTCATTTGCTCCATGCAAGCTCTCCGGCGGCCCAAGACGGCCCAAGAGGTCCCCAAGGTCGCCCCAACAAGATCGCCCAAGAGGCCTCCAAGATGGCCCCATGACGGCCCAAGAGGCCCCCAAGACGGCGACCTCCAAGACGTCCAAGATACTCTCCAAGACGGCCCCCCTGAAGCGCCCCAAGAGAGCCCCTCGTCGGTTCACAGAGGCACCCGGAACGGCTCCCGACGGCGTCAGACGGGTCGGGAATGCCCTGAGACAGCCACAGAGGCCCCCAAGAAGCCCCCAAAGGCCCCCAAGAAGCCTCCAAGAGGCCCAGGGAAGCTCCCAAGAGGCCTCCAAAAGGCTCCCTGGAAGCTCCGCAAAGGCTTCCCAAGAGGCCTCGCAAGACGGTTCCCAAGAAGACGGTCCAAGATGCACCCAAGACGGCCCCAGATGGCCTGAACATGGCCTTAGACTGCCCAAAAAGCCCGCCAGAGGCCTCCAAGACAGCCCCAGACCCCTCCAAGACGTCCTCCAGGAGGCCCGGAAGCTCGGAAACCACCTGGTCCGATGGCTCGCCCCGCTCCGTGTTCCCCGAAGGCTTTCGAAACCCACTCGGGGAACGCGTGGCCCGATAGCTTGGCCAAGCTCAAACCCAACTTTCGGCCACGCAGGCGCTTCCAAAAAGGCAGGGGGCGGCGGTGATTCGCCATAGGCGCCTTCGGTAACGCCACAATTTCAATATGCGCTGAAGACTCCTATCCGCCCCCGCATGCTGTTCCCAGATGCGCCAAGGAAGCGCCGAGACGCACCGACGCGACTCTGGGATATCCCATTATGATGGAGAGGGGGCCGGCGGCAGGGGCCGAAGCCCTTACGGATAAAGCAACACGCAACACATGTTCAAACATAAGTATTTGGGAATATTCTTCTTGTAGCGGGACATGCCCGACTTGTCAGTAGAGACCTCCTAGATGGGGTCGGAGTAGATGCGGTGGGAGGATCGCGTCGCATCGTCGATACATCGACGATGCATCGGCGATGCATCGGCGATGCACCGTCGATGCATCGTCGACATCGGCGATGCATCGCCGACGTCGACGTGAAGCACATCATCGGGCTCCACATCGAGCCGCACGGGCGATGCATCGGCGATGCGGCGCGATCCTCCGACCCCGTCTGCTCCGACCCCATCTGGGAGGCCTAGAGTCACAGACATCAGCTTCGGGGCCTGCGCTGGACACCCCCCCCCTTCCCCAGTGGCGCGGAGCGCACCTCTGGTTGGCGGCGCCAGGGGCGGCGCCCACCAGGGGGGCGTGCGGGACCCAGCGCCGACTCAAGCACTCCGCGCGGAAGTCTGGCAGCTCATGTTTTTTTTTGTTATTGCTGCTGTTGTTGCTGCTGCTGCTGCTGTTGTTGTTGCTGCTGCTGCGGTTGTGGTTGTGGTTGTTGTTGCTGCTGTTGTTGTTGTTGTTGCTGTTGTTGGTGTGGTTGTGGTTGTGGTTGTGGTTGTGGTTGTGGTTGTGGTTGTGGTTGTGGTGGTGGTGGTGGTGGTGGTGGTGGTGGTGGTGGTGGTGGTTGTTGAACATTATTTATTCTAAAGAATAATTATTGTTGGGCCCCCTGGTGCGCGCCCCCCCTGCGCCGCCTAGGCCGCAGCTACATTTTCATCATTTTCGTGAGGAAGCCTCAGGTAAAACGATGTGATCAGATCCGGTTGTTTTGTTGTATCCGTTTTCCCTTGCAAAAAACACTATAAAATGACATTTCTTGTTCTAATATAATCAAATTTCAAGAATCCCTTGCAAAAAATAAGGTAAAGTGGACATTCGCGCGCGCAAGACGAAATCCTTCCAAAAGCTTAGTGTTCGGAGCGATTTTAACATAAAAACATCAAAAAACCAATGGTTTTTCAACAAAAAAATGTCAAAATCTCATCCCGCGCGCTCTTGCGGATTCGTAGGAAACCAACACTTTTTAAACATTTCTGTCAAACGGGCTTTTGCGAGCAACTTTTTCGAACTTCTGCGACAACGGTTGCGCACCTGCCAGGGCCATCATCCCTGTCAAATAATACCATGCGGGACACATTCGTTTTTTCTTCGCGCGCGCACGCCGTCGTCGTCGGCCGCGGGGCCCTGAATAGTAGCCACGGTCGTCCGCATGCCACGAAGTGAAGTGTCCGAACGTCATAGGGCGGGAAGCTGGGTGTGGGTGGTGGCGAAGAGTCGTTTGGAAATTTGGTAGAGCTTGAACCGGCCCCCCCACAAAGTGGGGGTATTGCCCGCCTCCTATGAAAACCCTGGCACTGGTGAGAACGGAGTGTCCCCACGTGCTAGTAATTGTTGTTGTTGTTGTTGTTGTTGTTGTTGTTGTTGTTGTTGTTGTTGTTGTTGTTGTTGTTGTTGTTGTTGTTGTTGTTGTTGTTTTCTGCTGTTGTTGCTATTATTCGTATTCTTCGAGCTCCATCTTCTTGGCTGCGGCGGCGATGCCGCCGCCGCCCTTCGCGCCCTTGGCGCTGCCGATGCTGGTGATGAGCGTCCTCCGGGCGGACTCCTGCCTGACAGCCTGCACGACCGTCTTGACCAGCGACATCTGCTCGCCCTGATGGAACTCCTCGCTCCTCTTCTGGTAGGCCTGGCGGGGGGCACGTGCTATGCGCTTATTTCTTCATTTGAGAAAAAACCCAGAGGAACTCCGCGGCGAAAAGCACGCGCTATGCACACCGACCCGCTCAACCTCTCCTCCACCCTTCCGCGCTTTCTTGCACCTCTCTTCCTTCCCCCCTTCCATTGACATCCCTTGGTTCCATCAGATCGGGCCGGTCGGCTTCTCGGCGCTGTGAGCCACTTGGGGGCCAGTCTCGAGCCTCTGATACCATCGGAAGACGGCTCGGGAGGAAGAGCCAGCCCCAGAGGAGGGAGTTGGGAGTTGGGAGGTCCGCAGGGCTCGCGCCTCGAACCAAACGAAACAGACTGAGCCGCTTGATGTCTCAGTCTCTCGTGGGGCGCGAGGGTTGAGGAGCATGAGCCATTCCTGCCAGTGTCATCGCTGGCGCCCGTGACGGCGAGCGGGGATCGCACCATGGCAGGAGGGAGGGGGAAAGTGGGCCAGGATGGGGCCGGCGGTTGCAGTGGGAGTCTCTCCGGCCTCGTAATAGTGGACCCCCCCCACGATCAGCACCATCAGGAAGCCGGCTCCCGCAACATTGCAGAGCACCGCCAGCACCATGGCATCGGCTCCGACGTCTCCCGCGAGCGTCTTCCAAGATGCGCAGCTGACGTAGACCATCCAGAGTACCTGAGAGGCAGCGAGAGGGAAGAACTTGGTCAAAAGGAAACATCGTCCTCGGATCGGCGGTACAGCGCCGATGGGCGCCCGATAGCGAATCCGCACGTTCCCGGGCGGGGGTGGGGCTATCCGACCCCCATCGAAGATCAATTGGCGATTGGGGGTCGACGCAGTCCCCCCTGAGCCTGTCCCCCGTTATCGCTGCCCCAGGGTCAGGGAGGGAAAAATGCACACAGACACAATTCTTCGTCGATTCCCACGGAAAAATGGGGAAATAGGGGAAGTGTGTGGGGGGGGACGGACAGGACACCCAGAAAACATGGGACAAATATTGGGAATCTCGGGATTTGTGTGTACTTGTTCGTATGTCCTTGTGCCCCTTGGCAGGGGTGCCACGAAGAGAATCGCGCTGTTGATCTTGATGCCGGTCGGGCCGCCCAACTCGGCGCCGTGGGCCTTGCGCCTGTAGTAGACGACGGCGAAGGCGACCACCGTGCACATCAGGAACACGAGCACGGAGAACACGAGATCTCCTCGGCTATACGCAAGAGTGACCCTGGATAAGAGTGACCTCTGGTGCGCGGCATTAGGGGGGGGGGGCGCGGGGGAGCCAAACCCAATCGCGCGGGCCGCTGATATCGCAGCGCGTTCGAAGATTGGGGGACCCATGTGGGCCCGCACCAGAGGTCACTCCAGCGAACGGTCACTCTTACGCCTGGCCGATCTCCGGCGAGCACCACGAACGCGCCGCTCGGGAAGAGCTCGGCCTGCTCGGGGTACTTCAGCCTCCACTTCGCCGTGGCGCTGCCGTCCCAGTAGAAGGCCGCCATCATCCAGGGCAGCCCCAGGCCCAGGAAGACGTTGACGGCGTTGCTGCCGGTGACGTTCCCGATGGCGTTGTCCGCGGAGGGGTCCTCCACCGCGGAGACCTTGGAGGCGAAGAGGTCGGGGAGCGACGTGCCCAGCGCCACGATGGTGATGGCCGTGATCGAGTCCGGCAGGCCCATACAGCAGCCCATCAGCGAGGCCAGGTCGCCGATCACGGCGGTGACGCCGCCGATGAACACCAGCGCCACGCAGAAGCACACCCAGCCGCCGCCGTAGGACACCGGGGGTATGAGCGCGAAGAGCAGCTTCCAGGGGAGGGCGACGAAGTGCATGCACCACTCCGCGGCGGAGACCTCGTCGTGGTCCTCGACCGGGACCGGCCAGATGGCGTTGCGGAACTGGTCGCCCCACCTGGTCGTGCCCTCGCTCATGACGTCGAAGTTGAAGGCGTGGTCCATCCAGCGGGCGACCCTCATCGCGGTGTCCGCATCCCCGCTGGCTGGGAGAATGTTGATCGCACATCTGCTGTCCTTGCCCTCCGCCACGTGGTCCCCTTCCAGCTCAACGTAGAGGCGGTCACTGCCCTCGTACGGGCTCCGCTTCTGGATTTTGATCTCTACGCTCTTCTCTATGACCCCGTCTTCGAGCACCAGCACGTCGTCCTTGTGCATGTAGTCGCCTGCGCCGTCGGCCAGGCCGTCCAGGGGCCTGGCCGAGTCCGCCACCGTCAGCAGCCGGCACTCCACTGGACCCTCGCTGCCGTCGAAGCGCTGCACCTTCACCCAGCACGTCGTCTCGCACTCGGTGCTGGGCTGGTGGTCGATGACGTCCTCTCGCCATCGCTCGGACGTCCATTTTTTGTGTTTCTGTTCGGTCTCGTGCGTGTCTTTTCTGCTCGTTGGTCGAGGATGGTCCTCGATGGTTCTCGCCGAGAGAAAAATGCACACGTCCAAGCGATGCCAGGTCCTCGGCCAGCTTCAGCTTGCCGGTCCCGGCCTTCTGCGTCTCCGCGCCGGCGATGCACACCTCCGCCTTCGCGAGCCCCGGTGCAATGGCGCAGGCCTTGCGCCTCGTGCAATACTGCGTGGTCTCGTCCCCCTCGCTCAGGGCAGCCTCCGTGTGGCTGGCCACGGCCCGCGTCAGGCTCACCGTGAGGCGCTCCCCCGCGGTCTTGCTGGACCGCGCGAGCGTGACGCTGCCCCGCGACTCGTACTTGTGGATCAGGCAGTGCCCCTTCCTTCCTTTGGAGTCCTCCCAGTACACCCGCACGAAGTACTTGCCCACCTCTCGAGGGCAGCTCACGGGAGCCTCCCACACCATCCTGCCGGCTCTCTGGCGAATCGGCGCCAATCGACGCCAATCGACGCTATATCAATGCTTTTAGCCGATGCTAAGTCGGCGCTGTCTCATCGACTCCCAAACCCTAATCGACGCTAGCCGACGCTAAAGACGGAATTGAGAGGGTAGACCAGGCACCCATGATTTGCTACCGAACCACCTGCTGCCCTGTCTTCTCCACCTCCAGGATGATTTCGCCAGCGTCCGCGGGGAAGCTGAACTCGTGCGTCGTGAAACCCACCGTCAGATCCGTGGCCGGCACGTCCTTCTTGTTTTCGCCGATCATGCCAACGCCCTTGCGAACCTGTGCTCGCGTTCTCCCTGCCAGCGCAGAGTCCTCTGGGGAAACCAAAAGGTACCGATACCGCTGCCCCCCGGACCTCTCCCGAAGCGCGTTCTGACCAGGATCTCGAAGCGAATCCAGCGGTGGCGACAAGGGCCTCCAAGGAGGCCCAGGAAGGGGGAAACGGGCAAGGGGTAGAGGTATGGGCACCTTTTCTTCCTCCGATCCTCTACCAGCTTCACCTCGTGGTCCGGGAGAGCGGTGATGTCACAGTGCAGGTTCGTGCAGCTCCTCTTGATGCTGAGCGCGTGGCCCTGCTTCGCCGCGCGGGGGGACAGCCAGCCCTTGTCCGCGGCGAAGGCCACCGCCAACAGGACGGGGAAGAAGACGAACGTGGATGTGATGGGCCAATTTTCCACCACCGCTACCATATGTAGGAGAGGGAGGAGGAGGAGCAGGAGGAGGAGGAGGAGGAGGAGGAGGACCGCCTCATTCTCCCTTCTCCCCCGTCCTACATATTATGCTAGTGGTGGTGGAAAACTGGCCCATCAAGATACGCCCTCCCATGGCTCGATCACCTCGGGTGTCGAGACGCCGACGATCCGGCGACCCCTGGGGGCAACGGAGTGCAAGACCTTCCTTCCCCCATCCCACCCAGACATCTGGTGGCACGCAAGAAACTCGAGGCGGCCAGAGCTTCGCCATGGTAGGCCCTCTGGGGGTTGGACTCGGGCTCGGGAAAGAGACCAATCCAGGGGAATGGGTCGAGAGGTCAACGTGGCCCATGCATCGAGTCCTGCGAGCACTCCCCTGCGGGTCAAACCGAGGGTGGGTATCGGAAACCCATGTTCGGGCGTTGGCAGAACTGGGTTTAGTGGAACCTGGTTTAGTGATTTGTACCAGGGGCGCGCCCCCGCCCCATTTCCACGAACCGGAACTGCCGTCACCCGAAACACACCAATTACGGCAAACCTGGTTTAGTGAATCTGGCCAATTGAGGGGCCCCATCGCGCTACCACTAACCGGGTCCCCTTACCCGGGGTCCTGGCTATACCCGAGTTGGGCGGAAGCCACCACGTCGGGGGGCTTGCCTGAGGTTGGGCCTGTCCCCCGACAGAAGGATTTTCGACGAAAAACGACAAATACCCCAGGAATGCCACAAAAAGGTCAAAAATACTCCAAAAATAATCCCCAGACTATTTTTGAAGCATTTTTTGATTATCTTTGGGGTATTTCTTATTTTTCGTCTCACCTGGCTATACCCGACATGTATGGGGCTCACCTGGCTGCAGAGGCTCTTCCAATCCTGCGCCCCCGCCGGCGCTCGGACAACCTGACTTCCAAGGCTACTTAAGCAGGGACCGACCGCCGGTGGGTATCGGAAACCCATGTTCGGGGGTGGGACAGACCCCCCTTTAGTAAAACGTGGTTTAGTGAAAACGACCTGAGGCCCAAACCTGGCGGGCGCGAGCCTGGAAAATAACGGCCACGGCGCCCTCTCGAGAACCGAAAACCGACAATTCACTAATCGACGTGTCACTGTTGGGGGCTCTGTCCACCCCCGACATGTATGGGGCTCAGCTGGCTGCAGAGGTTCTTCCAATTCTGCGACCCCGCCGGCGCTCGGACAGCCTAGCTTCCAGGGTTACTTGAGCAGGGACCGACCGCCGGTGGGTATCGGAAACCCATGTATGAAGGGGAACTGGCACACACACACACACAAATAAATACACACAAATAAAAAGATTCCCCATATTTTCCTACATTTTCTGGGTTTTTGTCTTCCCCCCCACTTCCCATATTTTCCCATATTTTCTGGGGAACCGCCGATTAATTGTGTCTGTGTGTTTCTTTCCCTCCTGAATGTATGGGGCTCAGGTGGCTGCAGAGACTCTTCCAACTTCTGCGCCCCGGCCGGCGCTCGGACAGCCTGGCTGCCAGGGCTACTTTTAAGCAAGGACCGACCGCCACGGCAATCGCATCGGCCTACCGCGACAGTATCTCAGCACCAACACCCTTACAGCGCAAGACTAACTCTTATAACGCAATACCAACTCAACGCAATACCAACTCAGCGCAGTACCAACTCAACGCACTAACATCTTAGCACCAGCACCCTTACAGCGCAATACCAACTCTTACAACATAAAGCCGGTGCCAAAACGAGGCCTCATCCAGACATGTTCTAAGAACCTTGCGTGCCAACCGCAAAACAGTTTCTCAGAACAATGTTTGGTGGATGCTTTGTCTTATTCTGGGCTTCGGCATTTGGCCGCAGGGTGGGGGAGAGCGGGTCTACAGGTCTGGGGCAGTGCTTCGTCGATCTGCTCCTACCAGTCGCGCACGGAGACTGGGGGGAAGGGTCCTGGCCAGTCGCCAACAGCAGCCGCCGAACGCAGCCAAGACCTGGTCTATGGGAGGGGATGGGGGGAAGGGGGGGGGGGGGCGGAGGCTCGCGCCGGTCGGCGGAACACTGTGAATAACAAGCGGCGACTAGGCAGGTCAGAACGCTCCGCCACTGCTTCAGGTACGCTTCGCATGTGGCTGCCGAGCCGAGACTCGGGGCCGTCCAAGAGGGGGGGCGTCCAAAAGAGGGGGGCGCAACTCATGGCCGGCGGCACGTGCGCGGCCCAGGGGAGAGCCGGGGACGCATCGAAATAAGTGGCGCCATGAAGCTGGGGAGATATCCTCCTCCTCCTCCTCCTCCTCCTCCTCCTCCTCCTCCTCCCTTCCTCCCTCCCTCCCTCCCTCCTCCCTCCTCCACTCCTCCTCCTCCTCCACCTCCTCCTCCTCCTCCTCCTCCTTGCCCCCCCTGGCCGTTGCCCCCTCTCTGCCGCCCCCGAGAGAGGGATCGGGGCGCCGAGCGACCTGGACCCAGGCCTCGGGCCGAAGGTTCGGGGTGGGGGGGGGAGGCCCCGGTTGGGCGTTGCTTACTGGGGGGGGCACAAGTGCGGGGGCGAAGCAGCGTGCACTTCTCGCACCCCTTTTGGGCCACAGGGGGCCCCTTCCCCTCCTCCTCCTCCTCCTCCTCCTCCTCCCTCCTTCCTCCTTCCTTCGGCTCCTCCGGCTCCTCCGGCCGGCTCCTCTGGCTCCTCCGGCTCCTCCGGCTCCTCCTCCTCCTCCTCCTCCTCCTCCTCCTCCTCCTCCTCCTCCTGCGGGCCCCTCCTGCAGGGCCCCTGGGAAAGGCACACCTTGTCGCACCCCCACACTAATCCAGGGAGTCCACAAAAGACGTACGTGCCCAACCACGTACATGCATACGGCCCCCCAGTCCGCGAGACCAACTCCGTCATACGAATGTTCGCCTACCGCGTGCTTTCGAAGACAAACTGGATTCATGTACTTGTACGTCCTTCTATCGCAGGTTAGGAGGGGGGGGCGCTGGGGGGTGCCGGGGTTGACTGGCCGAGGAGGGGTGGGTGGGTGCTGCCCCCATTCAGGTTTGGAGGGAGATTGGGGGGTGCCAGAGCGGTTCTGCCGGGGAAGGGGGGGGGGGGCTGCCCCCATTCAGGTTTGGAGGGGGCGGGAACGAATACCAAGTGGGAACAGGAGACACGCGAGCAGGAGGGAACAGCGAAGAGACGAAAAGCGCAAGGTACAGAAACGCCACCGGATCGGCGGCACTGACCGGGGGCCATTCGAATACTTGTACGTCCTTCTACCGCTCCTGACTGTCGCCCCCCACCATTGCGCGACGCCCCACTGGTGAGCACGGGGGGAGCTCGCGACGGGCCACGCGCGCCCAGGGCGGGCTCGTGGCGCCACGGCGCCCACCGGACAGACCAGGAGACCGCTGGAGGTGGCCAGGGCATCCCAGGAGGTTTGAAGGGCGGCCCGGAAGGTCCCAAGACTTTTGCTACAGTCGGGGCCTTGACCTAAGGAGCCCAAAATAAGGAACGAGGCCCCTTTCTTCCATAAGTTAAACTTCGATTTCCGATCGAAATCATAAGGAAAACCTGAGGCAAGCTGCGAAACACTCAAGGAACGCGGAGCCCCTCCCCAACGAAAAGGGTTCCTTCTTCAGGGCCCCGACTGTACTCCTATCGCACTTACGGACCACATCCCAGAAATAATTTCGAGCACCCGGGAAAAAGTCCAAACGGTGTCAGAACAGGGTCGAACGAGTGTGTCCCGGGGCCCGGCACGTGAAATCCCTCGACTTTCGGTTCTTTATTGGTGCTCGACATATTTTCTGGCGATCGAGGCTGAAGTAGGTTGGAACAAAAGAACCCAAGACACGCGCGACAGGCCCAGCGAGATGCTCAGAGAACACCTGGGCCTTTCAAACATCGTTGCGTGAGTCGCGAGTTCGGTTCATTTCTCGTTCGGTTCCCCGGGCCTCGTCATCCTTGCGCTGACCAGGCGAGTCTGCCCCACACCCTGGATAACACAACTGGGGATTGCCGCTGCAAGCCAATCTTCATTACCTAGTTGATGCTGCTTGCGTGGTCCGCCGTAATCTGATCCGTGCTTGCGTGTGTGTGTGTGTGCCATACCACCACGGCTAAGTGGTGGAGACATAATCCCACCAGCCCTCTGGGCGTAGGTGGTGTAGGGAGGCTCCTCTTCCAACCCCCTTCTTCCCCTTTGGGGATGGGGTTTACCCCTCCCCCCTACCCCCTACCCTTGGGACCTGGACGGGGGTGGTCGCAGGTAGTTGGAGCGTCCAAAATGGCCAAAACGGCTCCAAGAGCGCCTCGGAAAAGCAAAGATGACCTCCAAAATGGCTCAAGATAGCGCAAGATACCTCAACATGGCATTCAAGATGCTCCAATAAGCCCCAAGAACGCTCGAAGACGGCTCCCAGAGGCCTCCGAGACCTCCAAGGAGTTCCCCTGAGAGATTCACAATGTTCAAAAACTTTGGGGAAAACGATGTGTGCTGCCATCTCGTCTAGTATCTTCTGATGGCCATCCGAGGCCTCAAGATGGCTCCAAGATGGCCCAACAGGGCCTCAGGAGAGGCCCAAGAGAGCCCCAAAACGGCCCCAAGAGCGCCCGAAGAGTGTTCCAAGAGAGGTCCAGAAAGCGACGTT